GCAACCGCGTGATTCTCGGCTGACTTCCTTGTATAAGATGCCCTTCAGTTTTTAGGGTAAGGATTTTAGAAAAAAGTATCGTCTTATAGTTGGAAAAATACGGTACACCCAACAGCTTTCTTTAATATGCAGGGAAAAAACTGAAGTCTGGTTAGATACAGATCTATTTTCATATAGAGTTAAAATCAGCAAGCTTCACTCACTTTTAATATTCAGAAACCTTTACAAACATGAGTGTTTCAATGTCTGTTGGGGACTGAGGCAAGCATGGTTAGAGGTACCTGAACATGGGATGAATCTTTATTGTTTAGTAACTTATGGTGTCATGGTTTTATGATTATAATAGTATAATTGTAGATTGCATGTATTTTTAATATATCAATCATTTTTGAGAATTTTTTTTATTATGGTACTGTTATGTGTATGTTGCTGCTTGTAGACTGATTAGAGTAACATATTGATGTGACTTCAGAGCACTATGAATGAATGAACGAATGAATGAATGAAATGTTATCTTCCAAGTGACCCTCTTTGTATTGGACCCTACAGGTGGGTAACCAATGAAGACAGTCTTGCTCCTCAAGAGCCCTCATTCTTTTGCGATGTCTGTTTCCAAACACTCCATTATGATGCAGATGGGAACAAGTTGGGGGAGTTCCTTGCCTACCCATATGTTGATCCAGGGATTTTCAACTGAGACTTCTCAAAGAAGAAAGAAAATCAAATAGTATGGTATCATCTACTTTAGTGCCTGCTGGAACATGTAGCATCCAATACTGTGGTTAAGCAATGGACAGCTTTTTTTCAGTGTTTGTACTTTATGTTTATACACACACACATGCACACGCACATACATCTATGTATTCCATTTTATTATTACATCTTGATCAATGTCCTAAATACAGTTGCTTACTGCATTTCAGAGGCCAATGAAAGCTGAACTCCTTTGCTTTACAGTGGTATCAAAGTTCAGGCATGTCAAAAAGTCACTTTCAGTCTCCCCCAGACTATGTCCATGGTCTGCTTCTAGGAGGCAGGAAAAAAGATATAGTCCTTTCCTCTGCTTCCTGAAGAATTACTTGGAGGAGGAAAGACCAATGATCTGAATGGTGTCCCTGCTTTGGCTTGGCATCCTGGAACAGCGGCTCCTTATTCATCTTTGCATTGATTTAGAAGGATGAGACAAAGCTTTTTTAAGGATATCATTATGTTTGTTTTTTAGTGCTTTGTTAATAAATGTTCTTCATATTTTATTTAGCATTCATTTTTGTTAGGTGTTGTGACACTAACAAAGCATTGCAGGATTGCAAAAGTGAAAATCTGATGCCCACATCTTTCCCACATTTCCTAACAGTCTCTTGTGCTTCTGTGAGAGATTAGGCATCGCTAGGTAGGTGATATTGTTCTGCTGCCAACGTTAATGCTGATATTTCACATAACTCTCACTTCTTTTGAGAATTCATGTGCACCTCAGTTGCTTTGAGTGGCTGACCTTTCAAATACATTCATTTAATATAAATGGGTTTGCATGATTTTTTTAAAAAAAATAACTTACCTCCTTGGACTATTTTCTCATGCCTCCTAACTTCCTTTCTATCCTTTCTGGGATCCTCCTGCCACTAGTGCCTGTGTTTCTTTTCTTCCAAACCATTTTTTGTAGCCTTATGAATATATCTTTCCAAAAAGAGGAATGCAAATAGGATGATAAGGCTGTCCTATTATTGGTGAGATGTTGAATAAAGGAAAAGATGCCACTGTTGTCTTGAAAGGACTTGTTTCTGCACAGGGCAACATTACATTATCCTCCTTGCAAAAACCCAAGTTGTCTTGCTTTCTGCCCTCAGGGCAACATTACATTATCCTCCTTGCAAAAACCCAAGTTGTCTTGCTTTCTGCCCTCAGGAAGCTCAATCATGGCTCTGTGTTGCAAGGAAGCCATTCTTTCAGGAGCTCTTCCAAACCTCAAGGACTCCGTTAGGATAGAATCCTCTGGTTGAGAAGCTGAAGGGTATTATC